GTTTCTTGCTTCTGGTAGCACCCCAGGTTGTGGCTGGTGAGGGCTCCTAAATTCTTGCTTTATAAATACATTTCCAACAGGGGCTGAAGCAGTTCCTATCATAGAGCACTTAGAACTGTGTGGCTGTCTCTAATTATTTGAGTAGCTCTTTTTTTAAATATCATTCTCTCTTGGTGTGCCTCAGAGACCAGGGATACTAATCTGTGATATTCACATCTTCTCCTTGATGATACCTCAGCACTTTTAATATATTTGTAGCTATTTTGCTGTGTTCAGTACCCTGTTTAATTATCCAAGAGTTCTTCTCTTTCCCTGGCTAAAGTTTCCCAGGCTCAGGCAGACCAAGGCTCCATGTGGAATGTGCTTCCTCCAACACCACCAGAGCAGGAGAGCCGAAATAGAGGGGGCACCTCAGCTCCTACCTCCATTGTGCATTGGCTTAGAAGTAGATATGTCAGCTGGGTGTGATGGCACATTCCTGTAGTGGAAGCACACTGGCAGGTTGAGGCAGGAGGATCTCAAATTTGATATCAGGCTGGGAAAGTTAGCAACTTTAGCAAGACCCTGTCTTAATATTAAAAGTTTTAAAAAGCTTTGGGTGGGCCAATCATTTAGCCCAGTTGTTTAAGTGCCTGCTTAAGCAAAGCAGTCAGGCTCAGGATTCTGTGGTTCGATCCCCAAATCCTCATGCCTTAACAGACCTGCCCTTAAGGCATCCAGAGCCAGAAAAAAAAAATCCTTTTAAAAAAACTTGGGATGTAGCTCAATGTAAAGACCTCTGATTTTATCTCCCGTACTGATGGGGAAAAAAGAAAAGTAATATATGTCACTTCCCTTCGAAGCCCATTGATCAAATTGATCATTTAACCCTAATTTCAATATGGAAGACATGGAAATATAAGGGAGCACCTGGAATATTTGATGACCAATAATGTCTCCTATCAGAATGAACTAACCAAGACAGAACAGATATGGTTTGAGGAAACTGGAATTGGTGCAAGAGAGATGGTGAGGAAGTCAGGAAAGCCCCCGAGGAGAATCCCAGCGTGACAGGACAACCTGCCCAATTAGGATCTAGAGGCAGTAGCTCTGGAAGGATGCTCAGAGGGTACGACATCAGACAGATTTCTGACCAGGCTGACAAGTGGAAATGTGGGTTGAGAAGTGTTTATAAAGCCAAAGAAGATGGATGTGGGAAGATTTTTTTATTTTTTTTTTTTGAGGCAGGGTCTTACTATGAAGCTCAGGCTGGTCTTGAACTCACTTTTTAGCTCAGGGGCTGGTTTCTAACTTGCAATGATCCTCCTGCCTCAGCCTCCCAAATTCTGGGATTATAGGAGTGTGCCACCACACCCAGCCAGGAAGATTTACTGAGTCAAAGAATGACTCAAATAAAAAGAATTTTTTAAAAAAGATGAGAAAGCCACTAGGAATGTGCACACAGGTATGATTATGCAAGCTGTAAATGTGGATTTAACCAAAACTGCAATACACTATAACCATAACAGTCAGCACAGACTCCACAGGTGAACAGCAGAGTCCCCAGAGTGACTGCCCTTACTTTAGACACTACACACAAGTTCCAGGTTCCCCATGTCACTTATGACCAATTGGATACTTTTTTTTTTTTTTTTAAAGACAGTCTTTAGAGTATATAGGCTGTCTACTAGTTTGTGGTAATCCTCAAATTTGTGGTAATCCTCCTGCCTCAACTTCCTAAGTGCTAGGACTGTAGTGGACCTCCACACCTGGTTTTAGCTGCAAATTTGGAAAATTCCCATGATACGCTCGGCTTTAAACATTCACTAGATCACCTCACAGAAATCAAGGAAGTGCTGTTAAGATTATAGTTTTATTTTGAAGGACATAAAGCAGGACCAGCCATGGTGCACGAGGACACCTCTAGGGTGAGATCTGGCCAAGAGCCCCAAGGTGTCCCCGTGAAAGGCACATCCTTCCTGTGCTTTAGTGTTCATTGTCACCCAGGAAGCTCAGTGCTGAGTCCTATTGGGGTTTCATTACATGAGCATAATTGATTCAATCCTTGGCCACGCGCTCCAACTAAATGTCCAGCCCCCCTCTCACTATGGGCCAAATTGTTATTCCCTAGTGCAGCACCCCAGCCCTAGTCGTGTGCATGGTCTTGCTGTGGACCAGCTGTGTTTAGATGTCTAGAGGCCCACAGTGAGTCACCATATTAGCACAAATCTCATACAAAGACTCTCCCATCCCGGAAGGCAGGGATCCCCCTCCAAGGGTTTAGAAGCTCTGTCAAGAACCAAGACAAACACACGTATATTCTTTATTATACCGCATCAAGAGAAGAGTGAAAGCATGTGTGTGAATGTGCAGTTTAAATAGTTATCTTTTCAGTGGACTAAATGCCTGATTAGGCGAGTACAGGGACTGGGGTTCAATCCTCGGCTCCACATGCCATGCTGGCCCTGCCCCTGGGGCATGCTGAGCCAGCCACTGAGATTGAGCATGTCTGTAATCCCAGCGCTAAGGAGGCTGAAAACAGGAGGATCACTACAAGTCTGAACTCTGTAGCGAGACCCTGTCCCAAATATATATATTTTTAAAAAGTTTCCTTTGCCAGGTGTAGTGGTGCATGGCTGTAATCCTAGCACTCTTGGAAGCTGAGGCAGGAGGATGGCAAATTTGAGCCCAGCCAGGGCAACTTAGTGACCTAGCAACACTTGGTCTCAAAGTAAAAAAGTAAGAAAAGGGCTGGGGATGAAACAGTGTGAAAGCCCTGGGTTCAATTCCCAGTACCACAATCAATCAATCAATCAATCAATCAACCAATCAACCTTCATCTTCCAATATATACTCTCTAAAGTATAATAAAATGATAAGTATGTTATTTAAAAATTTGACAGCACATATAGAAAAATGGGAGTGGGCTCAGAAGTGAAATAAATTTATTGTTCCTAAAAGCCTTATGGAACCATTGGGACATCTAGATATGTTTGTTACCTTGAGAGAAATTAGAGGGACAAGGAAAGAAGAAAAGAGGCAGCTGCTGCGCCCAGTGCTCGGTATGGGATGGGAAAAACGCAGGGAAAAATGCCATTCTTGCTGCCATTCTGTAAAGGTGGCCAGGGAAGGTAGAGGAGGCAGAGTCTGCAGGGGTGGGAGGTGGGCCAAGAGGAGGGGGAAAACAAATTGTTTTCCTCTCAGCACGCCAGCAGGACCATACAGGACAACCTAGAAGCAGAAGTGTCTGGAGGTCTCAGCTGACATTAGTGAGAGCTGTCTGTGGGGAGTGATGGGGTGGAGGCCAGGGTGGAGAGGGGAAGGTGGGGAGGGGTAGCTGAGAGAAGGGAAGTTGTGTGTTCTGAAGACAGGGAGTCCTGGGGGTGAACTAATGCTTTTGGAAGGAAGCCAGCAGAGGGAGAAGTTAAAGATTCCAGGGGTGAAGCCATTCTAGGAAGGGAAGCTAGAGGGACAGCTCTGATCCCAGGAACTGCACACCTGCCCCTTGTCCTTATCTCCCTTGTTCCTATACTCCTGTCTGCCAGACTACCTTCACTTCACAGAAGGTAATGCTGGGTTTTGTCACTGCAAGAAGTCCTATGTCCCCAGATTATCCTCTCTCCAAAGCCAGGTTTTTGCTCTATATGTATTTCCCTATGCAGGTGACACACCCTCTGCTCTGTGGAGTTGCTGTGTTGGGGTGAAGCCTCAAGAATGCAGGCTTAGGATGAGGAAGATAGCTCAGCGGTATAAGCCTGCCTGGCAAGCGCAAGGTCCTCAGTTCGATCTCTGGTAAATATATACATACATATATAAATAAATAGGCAGGCTTTCCTGGCAAAGGGCAGAAGGCCCAGCCCCAACCAAACTCCAGTGTCTGTGGGGATCAGGAAGAATGTATGCGTATGGCAGTGCTGTAAGCAGGAACACAGGGCTGTGACCCTAGGAGGGCTCTGGTGCCCCTCCAGTGGGGCACTTTTAGTATTTTCAAGACAATCTGAGCATCAAAACTTTTGTGTTTACTGTCCAAACTGGAGGAGAGGTCTTGCTTATTGTCTGGCTTGGGAAACAGCAAGGCAGTGTGTAGAACAAGAAAATGGTTAGGACAGCACTTCGTGGGAGGAGACCCCCAGGAAACAGCCTGGCATGTAAGGGAAGAGGAAGAAGCCAAGGAGGAAATGGCCCAAGATGTAGGGGGGAGGAACATGGAGGGCGTGGAGCGAGGGGAGGGTCGACCACTGGCTCAAGTGGCCAGAGGAAGGGAGTAGGTCACACAGAGACCATCTCTGCCAGTTCAGAAGGGCTGTCCCAACAGCCCACTGGATCCATTTGGGTCGGAACTGCTGCTCTTACTGTTCCAAACTTCTCTCCTGCTTGGTCTGCCAACCTGGAGGTCCAAAGTGTGGAGAGGTCTGCCCTCTTCAGAACCTGCTGGAGCCTTCTCCTTAAGGAGCATCATCTAATTAAGAGATAATAAGCGTCAATTTGTACCCCTGCGCGCGCTGGGGCGGGAGCCCCAGGCCAAGCCTGTGTCCTCCAGGGGGTGGCACTGCCTGCCTGGAGCCCCTTCTCGCCGCACCCATGCAGCGACAGTCGCCAACCCTAGCGCGCGGACGCGCGCACCGGGGATGCTCCGCAGCGCGCGCCGCTCTCGGCACTGGCCGGCCCGGGACGCACGCAGGGCGGCGCATCCGGTCCCCGGTGAGTGGCCGGGCCGGGAAGGGTTAAGCCCACCGAGCTGGCGGCGGCCTAGAGCGGCGGCGGCGGCGGCGGCGGC